CCTCCCCCTTAGCCTATGCTTAGCTGGCGCCTCAGTGGGTGCTCTATTGTACCCTACCCCCGTCCCCGAGCTGGGCCCTGGGGTGCTATGTGTATTAGGACCTGCAGGCCTGAGCCCTCTAGACCCGTGTCCAGGCGGCGGCGGATGACAGTGGGAGCCCCAAGCCCATTGGCACGGTCCCTGCGTGGATTATACTTCCACTGAATTGTTTCTGGTCATTACGCAGGGATGTGAGCAGCCCTGCCCTAGGTTAGCGTGCATTGCAAAGTCGATGACCTCCGCTGCCCCTGGTCGCCACAAGGGTAGTAGTAGTTCGAAACGACCAGCTGCTCCGAGGGAGAAAGACGGAGGCTTTACAGTTCCTCTCAGCAGCCCACAGGGGCAGTTCTACCCTGTCCCATAGGATCGTTATGAGTCAGAATTCGCTCAATGGCAGTGAACTGTTTGCTTGCTTTTCGCACCAAGGCCAGGGAGGGGCAGCCTCCTTCAGGGCTTGCTTGAGTGTATGTTGATGGACATCACCTTACAAGGGGGTGGGGGCTGTCACCTAGCCACTCCTTGAGTGCCTGGGTGCCCTGCACCAATATCGTCAGCTCTCCTGTCTACATACTAGGTATCCCAAACATGGTTCTGTTCCCGCTTCTGCGGCCCCACCTGCAGCCGCCATGTCTGGCTGACCCCTAGCATACAGCGCTCACACCTAGAAGCACCCTGCAATGAGAGCACTCGCCTGGCCCCCGAATGGTCCGGGCCAGCGAGGCTGAGACCTGGACAACAGACCAGGTAGCCGTGGAGCCGGTTTGCCTGTGCAGGCTGCAAGTCAGCTGCCTCTGCTCCCAGAGCCATACCCAGCTGGCGCCCCCAAGCCCCATCACGCCCCGCGCGCTAAAGACGCAGGCAGCAGAAAACAGACCCAGGCAGAGCCTGGCCCAGGCCCCCCACCCCCACCCCAGTTTCAGCTGCAACGTTGGTTGATCCAGTTCTTTGTGCAGAAGGCTTGACTTAGTCCAAGGGCGCAAAGCCGACCCAGACAGGGACTGGAAGGACAGCAGGCTCTGCCTTCCCAGACCCCCAGCCCCAGCCCACCCCTGACCCCCAGGGTTGCAGGCCTTCCTGTAGGTGGGTGGGGTTCTGGGCGAGTGCTCTCATTGCAGGAGGACCTCGCCCCTGCCCAGGAGAAGCTGGAGGCAGAGAGCCTGCAGCAACTGCAGGGGCAAGGTTCTGCTGCTGAAGCAGTCCCCCGACACACCAGGGCCACCCGCAGCCACTCCTGCTTCCCATGTGAACCCTTGTGCCTCCCTCGTGGACCCCCTGCCCAGAAACCCACAGGAGGGGAGGAGACCCTGGGACACAGAGTTCTGCACCCAAGCCTACCCCAGCCCACCCCTGATCAAGCAACCTCTGTCACGTGACCACCCTTCCAAGTCCAGCCATCGCCACCCAACGCTTGCTCCTGAGGCCTGGCAGGTGCAAAGGGCCTGCACTCTGGTCTCGGAAAGGTGGGCTGGCATGCCCCTTCGGCAACGGCCAAGGGAGCCTTGGAGGGCATCCGTCCGTTCAAGGCACAGGGTGGGCCTTCTTCCACCCAGCAGGGGGGACCTCAGCCTCTGCAGCTGCAGCCCCAAGCTAGGGGCGCTGGGTTGGCGCTCTCTGCTGAGGATCACAGTAGAAGGTGTAGAATGGGTGGCGAAAGCAAAATTCAAAAGCGTAAAAAAAAAAAAAAGCCACCTTACTGGTCTGACAGGAAACCGGCAGAACCCCAGGGCCCTTCCTTTCCCTCCCACCCAAACCTTGTCAGCCGGCTGCGCCCCAAAGGGGAGCGTTTGTTTGACTGAAGGCCCGAGGAAGGGAGGGCCGGAGGAGCAGTGTGCGGAAAGGCAGGGAGTGGGCTTGGGGTTCCGAGGGTGGGTTGCGTAAGCAGTGGGCCAACGGTTGAAGGAAAAGCTGTTTATTTGGGGTTTTTTTTTGGCTCTCCACACTTCCACCCAGATCACAGGGAAAGTTCAAAGAAGGACTATTTCTTAGTAGAGAATGAGAGTCGCACGAAGCGCCCCACCCCCAACCCCCAACTCTGTCCCCTGGGCCGGGCCCTGAACCATGAAGCAGCCCAAAGCCACCATCACTCTCTTCCCAACACGACCTGGAACCAAGTGCCTTCCAGCTGGTCCCGGCCGGCGGCCCCAGGTCCCACAGAGGGAAACACCACCCCATCCGGCCCGTCCTTCCAGATTCTTCCCCCTCTCCCTGACCCACTACCATGTCGACCTTCCGCAGGGCCTAGTGTCTCTTGAGAACGTGTCCCAAGGAGGCAACACAGGAAGCATGGTGCCGGCCCACGACACGGTGGGCTGAAGGCCTCCACTCCGCACGCTCCTCCTTGCTCGTCCGCGTGGGAGGCGGAGGGGAAGTGTCACAGCGTGGATGCAGTGCACGGCGGCTTCAGTGACAACACTTCCAAGAGATCTCGTGCAGCTCTGCTCAGCATACAGTTCTTTTTTTTAATTGGGATTAACATATATCAAATCATACCATAGTTCAACCACATCCAGCAGAATTTACATTTACTACCGGTTTCTAGACATTCTCTCTCGACAGGGACCCCTTGACGTGGTCACCCCTTCACTCTGCCACCACCTGTGTCTACTCCCCACGCCCCCCAACCAATACCCTGACAGCATTTGCTTACTCCATAGGTCCTGGTTGTCATACACCCCCAAATGAGAAAACATATACTGCACCTTCAAGAGGGGGACCTAACACTCCCAAGACACCCCCTAATATGTACAACCACACAAACCTATACAACCCCAAAATATATGAGACTCTGGAAACGAGATCAGGTCCAGTATTGCATCCTAGGGGGAATCTGCTGACGAGTTTTAGTTCAAGTCAGCTTGCTGCCTTTGACCTCCTGGGCTCCACTCAGCAGTGCCTTCCATTTAGAGACCGCTTCCTTCCTGTCCCTCTGCTGTGGACAGACCCTGTATAGTTCCACCAGTGACTCCTGGGCTCCCACTCTCATCCACAGCCTTCTGCAGACCAGATTCTCGGACTGTAGGCTCTGATCGAATCCCTCCTTCAACTTCAGATTATATGCTTCATAATACTTCGGTGACTGATGGTGTGCCTCTTCCATGTGGCCTTAGTTGACATCGCGCTTAGATGGCTGCTTGTTCAGAGACAAGCCTTTAAGACCCCATATGCTATTTCATCTGAGAGCCGGCACCATCTACTTTCTTTGCCACACTTTGCTCCGGCACCGTCTCCGTGTTCCCTTCCTGAGCGCGAGTATGGAGTAGGGCCGTGGTCTGAGAACTGAGTGTTCTTTAGATGGAGCTGGGATTTCCTGAGAGCCCCACACCAGTCCTGCATCTGTTTCTTTGTTTCGGTCTTTTGATTCATTCTTACTTGGGGAATTAACCCGAATGCCACGGCATTGCAATGTTCAAGCTCGTCAAGAATTCTTACCATTGCTTCCGTAATCACTTCCCAAACAGCCTATTTCTTCACGGTACCTTGGCTTCATCTCCCTTTTATCCACCCACCTAGCCCTCCTCGACACTCTTGTTCTACTTGTTATCCCTATAGGCTCAGCCATCCGGGGTTCATTTGCTGGAAAACTTCTTTCACAACCCCCAGAGGCTAACTCTGCAGCACCTCTGAGATAAACCCCGATAGGAACCAACAAAAACCAAACCCATCAGTGCTCGTCCCGGGCTTGCCGAACAACACATACCTTACTGAATACAGAGTACAGGCATTGATGTTGTTAAGGCCTTATTGCTCTGCCTACCAACCAGTTCTCCAGGACGGTACAGCTGTCTTCTGCTTCCCCAACTTGTGCTTTCTGGCCGATGCCTTCCAGGTCTAGGTGCGTCTGAGGTAGAGTCCAATTCAGCCTGGGGAGTCCCCACGTGGGGCCTCACTGGTGCAGCCCCTGGAGCATGCTGTGTGCCTTGAAGATACAGGATTCAGTGTCCCAATGCACTGAGACACTGGCCTGCGTCTCCCAGATGCATCCAGACGCCCAGCTCCATAGGGTCCATGCCCCTGAAGGCCCTTCACCCCCATCCCCGTGTCCCCCAATGCATTTTATCATTCCTCCCCAGACCTGGAAGTCAGACCCCCCCTTTTCCTACCAACAGATATGCCATTGTGCACCCCCCACTCCAGGTTTGCTCCGTTTCCCCTCTCCTGCGGTGTTCTTCCCGTCCGTACACTTTCTCCAACAGGGCTGTCCACCTGGCCCCGGGGGTCCTCACCAAAGATTGACATGTCAGCCTCATGTTACACCCCCCTCAGACTCACACAGGATCTGCCCTATGGTGCGTGCCTGACCTCACTCAGCATGGCTTCCAGTTCCCTCCACATCTTGAGGTGGTTCTTGGCTCCATTGTTAGTTCTTAAGGATGCAGAACATTCCACTGTGTGCACGCACCAGCCTTTCCTGATTCGATCATCTACTGATGGAAATCTAGGTGGCTTCCAGCTTCTAACTACCGTGAGCAGTGCTGCAGTTGGTGGGCGAGCAAA